ATATATATGTTATACAAAAGTTAGTTATAAAATTTTTTCAGCAAATACATTTTTTAAAAAATTAAAGATAAAAGTTTTTTATAAAAAGTATTAATTTCATTCTTATTTTAATTTTCGATGTGATTTGCTCATATACATTTTTTATCGCTTTTCCGGCTCTACAAAAGACAGCTTTATCAAATAAAAATTCCGAAAGGTTTTAACAAAAATTTAAAAAAAAATGTTTTTTTTTTTGCACTTTACAACAGTCTACCTTTGCCGCCAGTCTTGCAGTCAATTATCAAATCTTACGAGTTGGCAGAGAATGAAAAACCTGAGAGGTTGATTTTAAAAACAATATGCCATTTGACGTGGAGTTGGCAACAGTAAAACTTTGTTGAGAGCGTGATAAGCTAGTGGCTTGAAACTATCATTAGTAAAACAAGTCTTATGTCGCCATGGTTTTGAAAATAATTTGGAAATCAAAAGGGTACAGCGAGGATAGTCGAAAACTGTAGTGTTGTCTTTTACCGTACAATTAACCTGTGGTATATTTTAGTAAAATTTTAAAAAATGCTAAAAAACCTTTATCTGCCGCTTCCTGCAAATACTTTTTTCCATCCATAACAATAACTTTCTGATGGTCATCTAAGGAAAGACCAAAATATTTTTTAGCAATATTTACCATTTGTTCCTCCAATTCAATGACTGTTAGATCCACCTAAAAGAAAAGTGAACTACAATAAAATAGAACTGTAGGTGTTACCTGTTTTTTACCCCAAGGTCTATCTGCGGTCACTCTGAAGCGCTTATAAGTAAGCTGTTAACCAGTGTTGTCAGAATTCTTGTTAGTTCAATCTTAAGAGAGTGTATCTTGGTTTATCGTTTGGTTAATCCTTCCTCAATCTATTACTTCAGTTCGCATATTCATTCGAACTAATCCTATCTTTATTTCTTTTGAATTTCCCAATCTGTTCGCTATTCTTTTCTCACAATTTTTTCTTTGCTTTCCATTTATATTATTGAAGCTTTTTGTCACACGCTTGGTTTCCCAGATACATTTTAAAACTCACGTTAGGCTAGGTTGAATAGAAACGCAACAAGAACTTATTGAAAGAGTACTACACAGTAATTTAAAATGAAAAATTAATTTTAAAAGTTTATTTTTTGAGAACTTTTTCTGACCAAAAAACTGTAATAATTTAGTTGCAAAATTTTGAAAGTTCAGGTGTAGAAAAAATAAACAAATAATACTAATAATTTTCAACTTTTGAAATAAAACCGAACAAGTTGCAATAATAATAAAGTAAAAATTTAATAAAAAACTTGTACCATAGAAAATGCATTATGAAGAAAGTTGTTTATCTGCGAACCTCCAAGCCCAATAATTAGAATTTTAGCTCTAGAATTTTTTTGGTAATTTAAAGATCCTGTTGCGAACGGTGGCGATACTAAAGAACGAGCCGCAATATTTAATTTGCTGTAGTCAACAGCTAAACTTCTTGTATCTTCAATCTCAGACAAGTCTGCAATTTCTGCTGTTAAAATCATCGAGGTTTTGAACAAGAAAAGAAAGAAAGTAGAAGTTCAAAAGTTATAAAATACTTTTTGGTAAAAGAAGTTCAATTTCAGAAACAAAAATTTCATCTCGATCCATGTTTACTATCCGACGTTTGATAGTTATTCTGAAAGATGAATGCCTTAGCAAAAATTATACAGAAGAAAAATATCAGAAATTTTGACAAATTCAAAAAAAAGGTGTGTACTGCTTAGTGATAAGTGTAGAACTTACTTATTTTGGTGGTCTATGAAAACAAGGTCCAAAACAGACAATTTTGCCATCGAAGTTGTAAATGTATCAATTTCAAAGACTGCATAATTGTTAGGAGTAATATTGTAGAAAAAATTGGCAAGTGAAGTTGACGCAAATAAAGTTATAGCTTGCCATATCTGAAATTTAAATGCAAACTAAAGACGCAAAAGTTTTTGTTGACAACAAAATTAGGATAATATTAAGAATTTAAAAAGCGATTAGTTAAATACGTAGAATGATTTATAACAAAAAACTTCTTCTCAGAAACGATTCTGTGGTACCTGAACTGTAAGTCAGCTACAAAATATTTAAAGCGCATATGAATTCTAAATCATAACTCAAAAAAAAAATTGTGTTATTTCAAAGTGATCAATTTCATAGTGTCTTTATAACAAAAAGAAAAAAAAAAA